ATTCCACACAAATGATTCACAAAAGAGGTCCAACCGAGACGGGTGTCCAATACCGCTCAGCCAAAAATTTCATTGGTGTCGATTGCTATAGGAGACAGGAATAACACTAAAAAACAACTGACTTCGTTCGTCAACTCGTACTATTAACAACCATTTCCTCGTAAATTCTTCATGGTGTGATTGTCTTTTTATGGGGATCAATAAATGCGCCGTACTAAATGAAGTGTATGTTCCCCTACATGAAAAAAATTGTTGTAAAATCCTCTAAAGAACAGGTTCTTACGTTAGTATTTCCCTAATTTTCATTATCCCTCTTCTAGGTTAGGTTAAGTTTCTCTTAGTGTATGAAAGGAGCTTGTGGATTCCGTATCACGTCTCTGAACCACTCTTGCGCTTAATAATTTTGAGATATTTTGGCTTTGTAAGGCTACAGAATGCGTAAAATCTAATCGCGATCTGTTTCGGATACCCTAATTTTCAAAAAATGTGTTGATAGAAAATTCCCGCGGGAGATGCACGTTTAGTACCTAATATAGGGCGCGGTAATTAATCCGACAAACGAGCTACAGTAGAAACCGTGTCTATTGCCTAAATGCGGATATTTTCCGGGAGATTACTTTACATAACTGAGGATCTCTTTTATCGATTAGTCGAAAACAAATCTCTAATTGCACTTTTCTGGTATAGATCAGATGGTCAAAAACTGTTTTTACCTTGACTAAATCACGAGTTTCTCTACCAACGAAGTGAGACTTTGAAGTGCTCTCGTGTGTGACCACGACTGTTTGTATGACAGTTAATACTTAAAATATTAACAAAACCGTTCATTCGCCGAGACTGAAATAGTCAACTGTGAAATTCCGGCTAGTTTAGATGGTTTCTTTATCGGTTCGATTTTAGTCAGGCAACCCGTGTAGCACAATGATGCTATGCTCCATTCAGGGTGTGCCTGGACTCTGAGTTGCTTGTAGCTCAGCGTTTTATCGCCTGCCTACTTATTATCAGAAAGCTTTGCAAAATACCGGAATAAGCGCCCCTGGGAATATGGGTGGACTTGCGCTAACTTTCAGGAAGGGTCCCTTTTCTTGGGTTCTGACGCTAACAGTCAGCCCTACCCAAATCCCAACCCGAATCTTTCGGGAATTTACTGCCAGGCCATTTGTATTTCGGGTGCTACCACTCCCGTGCCTCATAGTGACTCCCACAGTCAATGAAGATTCCTCAAAAGAATATCTTGTTCTTCATCGGGCTTTCATATAATAGTTGGCCTTGCATGCTCTACCTTAAGCCCTGAACATATTCGAACAGTTGTGACTGTTTACTGAATGAGCGGACTGTTCTTTTTAATTTTTTTCAGCTGGAAGATATGACAGTCATACAAGTTAATGACCGAATCCGGTGTGTGAAGGAGCAGCTGGAGAAGGTTAAAAATGACCTGTAAGTGTTTCTGTCTTTTTGCTGTAAACTGTCTACCTATCTTGTTCTTTGGGCTTTTCTTGGCAGCGCGCGCGACTCGGTGTTTATAGAGTGACAGACTGCTACTGCCTCTTTAGTGCTATACTTTTCATCGAGTACTTGCTTCCCCTTAGTGGTTCGTCCGAGCGAAATGCATGCAAGATGATTCGATCAGGATGTGCGCGTGTCTTATGTTGAAGCTGTTGTCCCCTAAACGAGACGCGTGATATATGTGCTGGACAGATACAGGGGCCAGATCAGGGCATGACACGATATTTAGGATGCGTTCCCATAAAAAATGCCTGACTTTGGTGGGGAGTGCGTTGTGGCACGTTTAGATGTAGGTTCACTCCGCGCCAGCCACCTGCGCCCGATTCCACCTCAGGTCTTCTTGGCTCTGTCTTGGCGCTGGGCCCGCGAGGCTAAGAGAACGTAAAGTGCAACAGATACAGCGCAAGTCATATACTACTCAAAAATTATTAACGCGTACGTCACCGTCCCTGCGTCACCATGCTGTGGAGCACACTGTGGACCGTGTCGAAATCGGCGGCCAAACTGTCGTGTGAGGAAGAGTGGGTGGTTGTTGTTGAAGTTCAGTACTTGCATCGTATTTGTCACTTTCCTGATGCCAATTTTCAAGTCGCGGTTCATTTGACGAAACCCGACCACACATAAAATTCGATGTGGCCAGACTTAAGGACCACGAAGAAGAGTCGGACACCACAAGTTCCTACTAATAAAATATTCTTTAAAAAAATGCTTCACAGTTTTGTCCACAACGTACCTTATCCGAGAAAATCAACTTAATCTTCTGTTCAGTGATGATACCCATGTAAGCATTCAAGAATTGAATTAAGGCGAACGAACGTTTTCGATTCTTCATCATCAGGCTAGTACAATAATGTAAGGGAGGGTAGAGTTCACAAAAGTTTAATCGACTAATCAGTAATAATTTGGGGGAGAGGCGTTAAGGAATCAAGGGGTCAGATTCTAGTCATCATTTGGAACCTGAGGGGGGGGGGCACGAAAAGGGCTGCAACAGTTAGTTCATGTTGCCTCGTCGTTCCTGTCTCGTGTCTTGTTGGGAGGTGTCAGGACGCAAGGTCTCACGGTCTGGCGTGGGGATGCATGCCGTCGGAGTCTCGTCGCCGTCTCGCGGCGTGTTAGGAGGCGTGTGGACGCATGTTGAATTAGTCTTCGGCCACGGAAGCCTTAGTGCCTGTATAAACGCCTTCTGCGCACATAAAATATGGTTAGTTAGCTGTATGGCGACCGCCTCCGCCGTCGCAAGTATCCGCTGACGTAAGACCTTGGAATGATTCGCCGGGACTTTATACATGACTCGAAACGCTCGGTTGACGTCTACCCGATGACTGCTGTCAACCAAGTGAGTCAAAATAGTGCTAGACATGGATTTTACCTTGCTTCGGTTTAGCCAAGCCGGATATTGTTCTTTCGTGCGCTTAGATAGTCGCCTAGTTGTGTTCTTCACAGTCTTTTAGTAATTTCAGCTCACCTTTTTGCGTCGATTAGACAGCTCTGTTCATTCGGTCTTGTATTCCACAGCTCTGCTCAATAACATAGGGCTTCTCTTGTAGTCTTCTTGCATCACGTAGTGCATACTTATTTTGTTCATAAATACATAAAAAGTCGGTTTAACCGGAGTATTGTACTGTTGAAAATTAAATGCATATTTCTCGTTAGTCCTGACAGTGTGCTGGCTTGCACTGAATCTATCATACTCCCGGTGTCATGACAAAGTCGAGAAAACCGGAGGTAGGAGAAAGCGCAGGTGACTAATATGGCAAACAAATCAGCACATAACCCTCCCACTACACTCCCTGGTATACAACAAACGTAACCAGTAAGAAAAAAAGGAGTCAACGGCTCGAATCCCAGCGCTCACGGCATTGGCCTGCATGTCACTACACCCCATACTAAACCACCTGGTCGCAGCCTACACTTTGTCAAAATGTATGTTTATCATGACGCATGTGGCACCGATCTCACATAAAAGTTGAGAAGCCACCTTGAGAGGTGCCGGTGGTGAGTGGTTGAGTGCATGTGTGATGCATACGTTGCTGGGCCGGGG